TCTGCTTTCCGCACTAAGTTTGAATCATCAGACGATGAACTAATGTGATTGATGCCATATTCAGTAAATTATGCTAATGTTTTTTCTGTTTCACTATGCTAATGTTTTAGATAAGTTCACATTATTTTGATCTTTATTGACTTGGGATATTTTGTTGCCTTCCGATTAAAAATGTTAGAACTAGGCTCGACTGTTGACCACTAATCTATTTAGGTTTAGATCCATTTTACCCCATTAAATTTTAGCATGCCGGACATGCATGAAATACTTAGTTTGCTGAACAAAAAAAAACCCCCTAAATTACCAAAATTCACTTTTTGAAGAAAAAAATTCTGTACATTTTTTCTCTTTTCTAAGCCAAAATATAGAAAACATAGAACTAAGTATTGTAGAGGAATTGTTTGGAATTGTGGAATATTTATGAATGGAATAGAAAAAAAAAAGGAATAAATCTATCCCATTCATTCCACATCAAAATTGCAAAGGGATGATTTTCTTTGAACTTTTTTTTTTTTTTTGATAAGTGGAATGTTTATTCTATTTTTTTTTTTCGTAAATGGTAAATTTTTGTGTGGAAAGAAGTTGACAACAAGTTAGGATTGTTTTAAAGGATCGATGAGAGACGGCTCCACGTTGAACCAATGCTATATAAGCATTTCTTTTTCTTTACTTTAGATAATGAGAGATTAGGCACTTTTTATTAGAAGATATTTTGATATTTATACTTCTTTCCACAAATGTGTAGTTAACTTGTTTTGTAGTCTTCTTTTCATTATGAATTGGGTTAACTCATTTACTTAGTTAAAGAAAAGAAAAAACACATTTACTTATAAATACTGCATCTTGGCTATGATGTAATTCTTGGTTGAGAGAGTGAGATTCTTGTAAATGAGTTTGTTTTTTTCCCGTTCATATTACATCTTGGCTATGATATGTAATATTATTTTCGTTGACATCATTTAAACAATCGGATCTTAATAGAGCCCAAAAAAACGTTCTCAACGAGACATAGGAAAATTGTTAGACTGACCCCAATTGTTAAGCTAGTAAAATTGTGTGTATTCTTTCAATATCTTCTTGTGAGTGTTCTTTACCACGTTCGCGATTCAAGTTCGTAACAAAGGTGTTTCCATTACCTCTTAACTAAGCTTAAACCACTACATATTAATATACACAAAGACTTTACAAAATGTAAGTCGTACGTCATTTTCTTTAGATGTAATGTCGCATTCGGATGTATATAAACTTACTTCTTATCGGACATTTTATCTACAGATTATTATTCTTTTTAG